CGGGAGGGGCCGGCGGCCGGGGGCGGCGGCGGTCGAGGACTCTTGGCGCCCCCTGCGCAGCGGCGGATGCTATTGTCTGCTCCGCTCCTCGCCTGTCTCCTCGCCCGGGCTTGGGCAGTGATGGAGTGTGTGGCCCCGGAGCGGCACCAGAGACGGCCGGACCCGAGGAACGCTGGCCCCGAGCCCGCTCCGCGGCTGAGCCCATTGTTTTTAGTACCAATATCGAGGAATTGTGATGCCCTGTGATTTGCGGCAAAATCAGAGCATTGGTTCTTACTTAACACGAAGGAAAGAATACTTGTGCCTTGCAACCGGGTTTCGTCCCATGTTAGCACATCATTTATTTTAAGGAGAATACATTGTTGTTAACGTCCTGCAAAGTGTTAGGGTGGATACTGGACCCTTTTACATACAGCCTTGAGCCTGTACTCTTTTCGAAAGCAAACTCCCACCCCTTCTGGTCACCAAGATCTAGGAAGACGGGGTCCATTCTTTTCCAAGTTCTGCTTGCGGATTTGCATTAATTGTTGTCCAGTTGATGCTTCACTAGCTGTCGCCTTCGAATGCCGCTATCTTCAGGACTTACTGAGGCACTTTGATATTATCTAACAATGTCGGTATATTTTGTGCCCCTGAAGCATTTTAAGTGGGGTAATAAGCCCGTTTTAACTTTAATAAAGTTAAATTGCCACATCATAAATTTCCAGATACCTTGTTATCTTTTGGGGTAATTACAAAAAGCGACAGAAATTTCTTATCGAAATTTGGGACCCATTTTATTCTACATTGGTTGTGTAAATTTCCCCTCCCGATGTTCAAATTCAAGATGGTGTGGTGAATATTGAGAATCAGGTTTGACTCTTTGCAGTAATGCTGTTAGAGGAACTTACAATGGTTAAAAGAAAGGATAACATCTATCTGACTTCTACCTTTAGATAACCTTTATAGAAACAATACTTACCTGTTTGCAGTTGAGATGACCAACTGAATTACAAGAAACCTTAAAAATTAAGCATACATACTAACAACACATTTGCAGATTCCAAATAAACACATACAAATTAGTTTAAGTATAAAATACACCAGAATTCAGTATCCACTCCATCTGTAGATGTTGTTTTTTATTGTTTTAAATGAAGTATTTTGTGTATAACTCTTATTTTGGCCTTTTTAACATTTGTATTCTCTTTCATAATATTTCTTAATTGTGTGCATATTTATGTTAGAATTTAAAAATAAGATGAAAACACACTTTTATTAAGAAAACATGTATTTATGGTGTCCTTTTTGGTTAATATTTTATATCATTCTGTTTTGCTTCAAATACACTAGCAATAACTGAGGATAGCATTCTGAGTGAAAAGCAGTCTGTCTACAAGTAATTCAGCCTGGAACTAGAATGGCCTCAGGATGAAAAATACTAGGTCTTCTGTTTCTTTCAAGCGTACCTAAACCAATTGATGCCTACAATTCTCTTTTGATGCATATAGAGAGAATGGAATCTATAACACAGGTAGAAAATAGCTTATTAAATTGTGGGAGTTATCTTTATTTTTCTTCAAAAATTTCACTCCAATTTATTACTTGTCCCGCTTCCCCCCAACTTATGTGGAACAGGGTGGAATGGGAAGATTTGCATCTAGTAAGAAGATCTGTCCAAAATGATTTCCTATTTTAACTGGTATAAAAATATTGATGATTAATAATCATTTCAGTTAAATGGCTCACCTCCCCAAAGCTTTTCTGTGAAACATATAACCTTAATCTTAACTTTATTGATTCCAAGTATTGCATGTAATCTTGATTTTATTTATCTTTACAGATGCAGTTTATGTTGCTTTTTAGTCGACAGGGAAAGCTTCGACTGCAAAAATGGTATGTCCCACTATCAGACAAAGAGAAGAAAAAGATCACAAGAGAACTTGTTCAAACCGTTTTAGCACGGAAACCTAAAATGTGCAGCTTCCTTGAGTGGCGAGATCTGAAGATTGTTTACAAAAGGTATAGTTTTTATTTATCAGAAAAAGGTGAAATGGCAGAATCAAATGTTTAGTCATTTAGAAAACTGCAGACTTTTGAGCGATGACATTTATAAATAATGATTAGTAACAATTTAGATGAAATAACTTTAAGATAAAGCTTTATGTTTATAAAATGACTGGTGTTTTGATTGATTACAACAGGCCGAAATGATAAAGGGAGGGAAATCATTTGAAAATGAATTATATATTAAATGCATAAATGATTATTCATGCTTAATCATCTTTTTAGAAGTTACTAATGAATTCATTTAATTGCAGGGAAAATAGGGTCAGTATTTTAAATGTGTGAGTAATTCTCTGAATTTAGACAAGTACAGATAGAATCTAATCCTTTTCTTCAAAAATCTGTAATGACTAATATTTGACAGACCTTTTATATGACTTTTAGAATCTTACTTATAAATTCCTTGGGCACATATACTATTTCAATCATATAGATGTTTAACAACTTTGTGTATATACAGGATTTTTTGCGAATAGTGTTTATTAATTTGAAGTATCCTTGTTGCTGTGGTGGAGGTGTGATTAGATATGATTGATAATTTTGCTAAGAACAGATTTTTTAAAAATTGATATTATAAAATGACTCAGATAGGCTTTTAACAGATTTTTTTAAAAGTTATAATCTTTATTATCTGAACGTCTTTGAATACCTTAAAATAAGCTTTTCAAGATTGTTCTAGGAGGTTAAAACAAATACATTTTTTTCTTTCTTTTTTTTTTTTTTTGAGAGACAAGTTCTCGCCAAGTTGCCCGGGCTGATCTTGAACCCTCAGACTCAGGCAATCCACTGGCCTCGACCTCCCAGAGTGCTGGGATTACAGGCTGAGCTACTGAGCCCGGCCTACTTTTTTCTTTTACAAATTTTTTTTTTTTTTTTTTGAGTTGGAGTCTCACTCTGTCGCCCACACTGGAGTGCAGTGGCCGCTCCTGGCCACCGCAGCCTTGACCTGCTGGGCTCTGGCGATCCTTCCGCCTCAGCCTTCCAAGTAGCCAGAATTATAGGCATGCGCTACCACGCCCGGCTGATTTTTTGATTTATTGTAGAGATGAGGTCTCACCTGCCCAGGTGGGTTTCGAACCCACGGGCTCAGGCAATCCACTCACCTCAGCCTCCCAAAGGCGCGGGAGTACAGGCTGAGCCACCGAGCCCGGTTTACAAAATCTTTTTTGAAGGGACATTTACTTTGTTTCTACCCCATTTCTGTTCCCTATCACATTTCTGCATATAAAAAAAATTATCTTGTATAGGGATTATGCATTGAAGTAACAGTGTGGGATATGACGAGGCTTTCCTTTATTGCATTCCATGTATGGGGGAGATGGCTGGGGAAGAAATGGAGATGATAGGACAGAGAGAGTTTCTTAAATTTTGTAGACTTCTCTTCATTATAGATATAGAATATAGAATGAATTTAGCCATCAACGGGTGGTTTTTGTATCCAGTGTACTTGTTAAAAATCATAGCATTTGAGGGCTAGGAGGTATCTTGCAATAATATAGTCAAATGATTTTTTGTTTTTAAGCTTTTTGCTCCAGGGGTAGAACCTTAAATATAAAGAGTGGAAATGGAGTTGCTCTTGTGAAATCAGGACTGAGGATCCTGTACTCTTGCTCACTTTGCACAGGAAACAGTTCCTGAGTTTGAAAACAGCTGTTGTTGATCAAACTTTAATTTTATAAAAAAATGAGAATTTAGAAGTGACTTGCTGTGGGGTGGGGGGGATTGGCAGTTGAGGGAAACTGCTAGGGGAGGGAGGGGCATACCTCATCAACAAGGGTACCTGCATGATCAATGTTTGTATACCAAACCCTGAATTGTACCCCACATCTTTATAATAAAAAATAAATTAAAAAAAAGAAGTGACTTGCTCAAGGTCAAATGCTAGTTAGTGATTGACATGGGACTATAACTCAGATCTAAAGCTTGGAGGGAAGGGTTTTAAACAGGGCTGAGAAAAGATCAGATTTGCATTTTTAAAAAGATTGAAATAGGACAATGGGTGGGAATGGGAGGACCTGAGACTGGCACCTGCGGGATCAGTAGGAGACTGCATGATAATGAGGTCCTGAGCAGCAGATGCTGGAAAAGAGAGCTATTACTAAGGTAAGTTTGGTAAGACTTAGTCACTCCTAGAAATGGGAAGGGTGGCCAAGGAAAGGGAGGAGTGGGGTGATGCCCACATTCCTGGTTTGGCTGATGGGGTGAAAGGTGAGCTAGAGAATTCAACTCACTTGGGCAAATTTATTTGGGGATACCTGTGTAACTTTCAGGAAGAGAGGCCTGGTTTTCTGGTGTGGTGTGGTTGGCATAGGCATGGAAGCCTGGGGAAAAGAAGACAAAGTGTTAGATCACCAGCATTCAAGTGACAGGCAAAGGGAGTGAAGAAGGAACTTTAGAGTGAAATGAGAACCAAAGAGAGTAAGTATTGGGTCAGTAAAGTCAGGGGAGCGAGAGTTTTGAGAATAAGATTACCAGTGCCTAATGTCACATAAAGTTCAATGAAAGAGAGGAAAGAATCTGTAGGTTTTACAGTGGTCATTTCATAAAATGACCTTTGCCAGAACATTGTCAGTGAAATAGAGACAGGACTCAATGTAATGGGGAGAAATTTTGGAGAACTTTGCTATGAAGGACAGGAGAAATGGTAACCACCCATAGACATAGGAATGGGGGATAAGGTTTTAAAAAAAGGTGCGAGAGACTTCAGCTTATTTCTAGGTAGGAGAAGGAGTCCCCCGTGTGGAGGAGGAAAATAAGAGCAAGAGAATCAATCCCAGGAATGGACTGTTACAGCAAGAAAGGAAAGCACCAGTTGGCGTTCCTGCACTTACCACTCAGTCTTTCCGTGTTTGGAGCACTCCTTTTCTTGTAAAAGCGATCAAGGGTAATCTAACTTGATTCTGTTACTTAACATAAAGCCCCTTAAGTGGACTTAAAAAAAATAACAGCTTTATTGAGCTGTCATTCATATACAAAAGGTGGAATTTATAATGTTTTTCTATACACTCTCCACTGCTTCATACTGAAAACTTCATCTCCTGTATCACTTAAGGACATATTTTCTGTTAGTATAAACAGGTGATTTGTTTTCCTTACTCTAGATGGAAGAGAAGACCTTTTAAGCAAGAGAATTACTGCTTAGCTCCTGAGAAATTCTGAGCCAGAGCAAGTAATTTTTGTTGTCTTTGTTAAATTGTCTCATCCACATTCTTCATTCTGATGTAGTTGGCATACAAATTCTCCCTTTTGATGAGGGAGAGTAGAGGGATAAGGATAATATTAGCTGAAAAGACTAAAAATCTGGGACTTGAGTTCTGTTCCCTTTATGCCATTATCTAGTTTTGTGACTTTGAACAAGTCACTTTGGCTTTATTTGCTCATCTCTGAAATAAATGCTCTTGAAGATCCCTTGAAGACAGAACACTGTATGCTTTTTTGATTCCTATTTTGTGTAGCATTTTATGGAAGAGGCACTGGATTAATGTCTTAAAATTAACTTATAAGCACATACATCTCCAAATTACTAGCTTGAGAATTTGTCAAAGAGTACTTATTGATTTTCTTTACTAACAAAAGAATTTTTAATGACATACCAGTGGGTATTGCGAACAGTTTAGCTACATTCACCCACAGTCAGCTGATATTTAGCTGACTGCGGAGAAGTCATGTGTTTTGAATATAAGAATAGGCACTTTCAGATGTTCTCTGAGTGCCAGTAATTAGAGTAAGCCTTAATCCACTGTGTTAAAAATAACCAAACATACCTTTCTTCTTACTAGTCTATTATTAATTTTACTTCAGATTTAGACGAACAAATATGCACTAAGAGAACAAAATTAGTTCATTATTGAATTTTTAAAAACCATTTGGTCCTAAATATAGGGAGTACACTTCAGGTTCTCTTGGTAACCTTTTACTAAATCAGTATAATATTTTTTATTTCTTTCCCTCTTCAAGGTTCTTCAAATACCATTTTGAACATATTTTAATATTTTTACCAGGTGCAAGATTACTTTGATACAGTTGCTGGCTATAGTTTTTAAAATCAAACTTGGGCCCTGGAGTCATATTGCTATTCCTAGACAGGTTACTCATATCTGGGTCTCTTATAAATGCAAGTAATAACAGTGTCTCTCTGGTCGGGTTGTTACAAGCATTAGAATGGTAACATATGCGAAACCTTAGGTAACATTAGTACCTCATGTAGAGTGAGGACTCAGTGAATGGTACTTGTTATCATTATGCTTCTGTTTCTTCACTCCCTAAACTTTCTGGGAAGAGGTGCATTCTTAGCATCCTAATAGCTATCATCTATTCACCTACAACGAAGAATTCATTAATTTGATGGCTCTTTTTCCATTCTCAGTGGAATTAAATATTTCGATAGCATTTTTTTTTTTTTTTTTTAATATTACTAGTTGGGCTGAGGTGGAAGGATCGCCGGAGTCCAGCAGGTCGATGCTGGAGTGGGTGACCGTGAGTGTGCCACTGCACTCCAGCCTGGGTGACGGAGTGAGACTCTAACTCAAAAAAAAAAAAAAATTATATATATATTACTAGTTGGTTCTTAGACACATTGATCTTGATGATTTTTAAATTAGTGTTTCCAAATGATTCATGCAATTTAGGACCTTTGACTAGTGTTTACATGCTGTTAGTTTGTAAATAAAGAGGCAGTACTATGGTAAAGGAATGAGGATTGTGCAAGCATTAAATTGTTTAACAGTAGCATTGGGGAACTCTTGAAAATTAAGAATAAAAGGAATTTAATGGAATTACTTAGCGGTTTGTTCATATCAGCTAGTCATATCTGGGTTTTTTTGTTGTTGTTGGGGTCTCACTCCGTTGCCCAGGCTGGAGTGCAGTTGCATGCTCATGGCCACCCCAACATTGACCTGCTGGGCTCTGGCAATCCTTTCACTTCAGCCTTCCAAGTAGCCGGAACTACAGGTGCATGCTACCACACCCGGCTAATTTAGTTATTTATTTATTGTAGAGATGCCGTCTCGCCAAGTTGCCCAGGCTGGTTTCAAACCCGTAGGCTCAGGCAATCCACTCACCTCGGCCTCTCAAAGTGCTGGGATTACAGGCTGAGCCACCAAGCCCGGCTCATATCTGGTTTTTAATCTGCCATTTTTATGTCTGTCTCTTTAATCTTTAGTTTTCTTTTTTTTTTTTGAGTTGGAGTCTCACTCTGTCGCCCAGACTGGAGGGCATTGGCCGCTCCCGGCCACCGCAGCCTCGACCTGCTGGGCTCAGGCGATCCTGCCGCCTCAGCCTTCCGAGTAGCCGGAATTACAGGCATGCGCTACCACGCCTGGCTGATTTTTTGATATATTGTAGAGATGAGGTCTCGCCAAGTTGCCCAGGCGAGTCTCAAACCCGCGGGCTCAGGCAATCCACTCACCTCAGCCTCCCAAAGGCACGGGATTACAGGTTGAGCCACCAAGCCCGGCTTTTAGTTTTCTTAATTCAGGGAATCTTATGTATCATTTGTCAGTTTCCTCAAATTCAATATTCTACTTAGTCTCATGGGTTAGGAAGGATGAAGAGTTGGAATATCCTATTTCTTTTTAAATAGATAAACAAAACAGGATATGATGGGAAAGACAGGAAGCACTTTGTTAAAGTTGATGGCAATGCCCTGTTTTGTCCTCCATGATTATTCTCTTCATGATGATAAATGAACACATTCAAATGCCTCATCTTGATAATCCTGTAAGAGACCCACCATTTTAAATAACTTACCAAATGTGGAAGTCAGAGTGGACATGCAAAAAAGTCACGATATGTATGACAAGGGACTTAGTATGGTAGAGTGGAAAAAAGTCTGGAGTTCAGATTGAAAGGTCGGATTTCTTGTCCCAGCTACCACGAATAGGCCTTGTATTTTTGGGCCTCATTTTTTTGTTGTCGTTTTTGTCTTTTTTATTTGTAATCAAGGATGATCATACTTGCTGTTGAAAAGATCAAATAAGATGAAATGTTTTGAATAATGTATTAATAATGTTTTGTGAATACTACTTATTTTCATACCAAGGAGTAGGAATTCATAATCCCCAAACTGAGGTTTGTGTCCTTATGTATACAGTATTATTTTACATCTATGTTATGAGCAGTAGTTGTCCATTGTGTTTTCTAAAAATCATTTAAGTGCTCCTCAATGGAAATTACAGTCTCAACTGAGACTTGTTTAGAATGTCTTAGATTTTTATTTTCTTTTCAAAAGCCTTAAATACACTTAAACCATTTGAAAACGCTCTTTTAATCCTCTTCAGAGGATTTGTTATGCCTCTAAGTTGTTCATTAATAAGTTTGGCTTCCTTGGGTCAGACATAACCTGGTCCCATGTGCTAGAATCCAGATTTGGGGAAGATGAGCTTCCCAACCTTATTTCTTTTTCTAGGGTAAATAAACAACACTTAAGTTTAACAGTGTAGATATAGAACTTGGAAAAGTTGAAGACAGGTCTCAGTTTCTTTTATGTGACAGGAACATTCTGTTCTCCTTCAAATTTCTGTAATAACTTAGAGCTGTTGTTCTTGGGGTTTATTCCACAATCCTAGAAACTTCGTTCTTAAAAACAATTTATGCTGTTAGAAGGCAAGATAGTAGTTACCCTTAGAGGTTGGGGGTTGTGACTGGGAGAAGGCAGAAGAGGAGTTTCAGGGTTCAGTAGTATTTGGTTTCTTGATCCGGATGCTGGTCTGTAGATAGGTTCATTTTGAAAATTCACTAAGCTGGTACAACTTGAGGTCTTCTCTGTGTATATATTATACATACTCCAATAAAATGTCCTAAAATATTGACTTCACCTTGATAATATCTTCAGTAAGTCCTTCACTTGGAAGGTATTTTTTTCCCTGCTTACTTGTAGTTTGAATTAATCCACAATATATTTTGTTTTAATTTAGTAAACTTAAGAAAAACCTGGGTCAGCTATGTTTTAAAATGCCCATAAAAGGAACCCGAAAAGAAGAGCAAAATCATTTACTCTTTCTAGCTAGTATGGTTTTGTTTTTTTCTTTTTACTTGCCTGTGCTTCTCAAAGTTTCTCTTATATATTTATTACTTTTGTAGTCTAGAAGAAAAATGATTTGTACTATTGTGAAGGAAGAAATAAACTGTAAGCATGAGCTCTTTCACAGTAGGATATGAACATATATATAGAAAATATAATTGTAGGTAACTTTTTTTCCACATTTCTATTTATTACAGATATGCTAGTCTGTATTTTTGCTGTGCTATTGAGGATCAGGACAATGAACTAATTACCCTGGAAATAATTCATCGTTACGTGGAATTACTTGACAAGTATTTTGGCAGTGTGAGTAGTATTTTATTTTAGGAAATTGAATGTCATAGTATTTTTTAATCTTTTCTCTAATAGATGTATTCTTTGGTTGTCTCGGGGATTCTAACTACAGGAGAGGGCAGGAATGACTATTTCTTATCAGTGGGGCTAGTTAACTTCTAGAATTGCTGGCCTTACAGATCTAACTCGTTTAATTATGAGGGTGAGCATGAAGCTTAAAATAGTGAAATAGGGCCAGGCACGGTGACTAATGCCTATAATCCCAGCATTTAGGGAGGCAGAAGCAAGAGGATTGCCTGAGCCCAGGCTTTAAAGACCAGCCTGGGCAATGAGGCAAGACCTTGTCTCTACAATAAATCAAGAAAAATTAGCTAGGTGTGGTGTTAAGCCTGTAGGTCCAACTACTTGAAAGGCTGAGACAAAGGATCACCTGAGCCCAGCAGGTGGAGTCTGCAGTGGTTGTGAGTGTGCCTCTGCACTTCAGCCTGGGCGACAGAGTGAGACACTGACTCAAAAAAACAAAAAACAAACAAACAAAATAAATAGAAAGGAGTGGGCTGCAAACAATATTCTCGAAGTGCTTAGTATAGAATTTAGATTTGATTAGCAGTTTTTTGTTTTTGTTTTTGTTTTTGAGTTGGAGTCTCACTCTTTTGCCCAGACTGGAGTGCAATGGCACGCTCCCGGCCACTGAAGCCTTGACCTGCTGGGCTCCAGCTATCCTTTTGCTCAGCCTTCCAAGTAGCTGGAACTATAGACATGTGCTACCACGCCTGGCTAATTTTTGATTTCTTGTAGAGACGAGGTCTTGTCAAGTTGCCTGGGTGAGTCTCGAACCCACGGGCTCAGGCAATTCACTAGCCTCGGCCTCCCAAAGTGCTGGGATTATAGGCTGAGCCACTGAGCCTGGCCTGACTAGCAGTTCTAATCACATTACCCAAGAAATATGTGTTTAAAGATCAATTTTTATGAGTAGAAAATTATTAAGTTGCCCGCTTTGGGAACCTGTGGAGCCAGGTCTTATTTAGCTGGTAGGCATTATGTTTTCAAGTACTTGAGATTTGAAAATTAAGCTTACTTAAACCAGTGATGCTTTGTTAGCATGATTGCATTTTTAGAAAGAGTAAGACTGATTCATTCTGGTCAGATTTTATTCACTACCTGATACTGAATAAGCATCTTTTGCTTTCTTAAGTTTTAACAGGTTTTTTTGTTCTTTTCAGGTGTGTGAACTTGATATTATCTTTAATTTTGAGAAGGCTTATTTTATTTTGGATGAGTTTCTTTTGGGAGGGGAAGTTCAGGAAACATCTAAGAAAAATGTCCTTAAAGCAATTGAGCAGGCTGATCTGCTGCAGGAGGTAAGATACTTGTTCTCTTGATTAGGCACTAGCATGTTTTGCTCTTGCTGGGGAAGTTTCAGTCACCATTCTTACAGTTTCAGAAATTACTCTGAAGCATGCTTGGCATGTAGTGTCCATCCATGTGCAGTTTATTGATTGGAATACGTGTCAGTCACATCAACTCAGTTATCTCTGGATGGATGGTTCACTGGAGATGGTCTGCCAGTCAAGCCTCTTCCCGATGGCCCATTTTTGGACCCCAAAACACTGGAGTCTAAACCTTTAAAGGACAGACTGCTTTAAGAAGGGAAAAGATGATTGGCTGAAAGTAGCAGTAAGCCAAGAACTCTCCATCCATTGTTTTGAATTATTTAAGATAACCTCCTTTTTCCTAAGTGTGGATAATCAGGAGTTGACTGTGAGATTATGGCATTTTCATTCCAAATTGGTTCATATTTTCACCTTATGTCCATTAAGTGCAAATGTAGCCAAGAAAATGATAGTGTTTTCTAACTACACTTTTTGTGGAACCCTCTAGTTTTGTTTTAGCAAAACTAACTAAACAGTATCTGTACTTCTCTTTGCTCTTCTTAAATAACAAACCATGATCTGTAAAACTGCATTCTTGTCTGACCTCCATGTCTCCAGAGCCATAACTCCCTTTTTTTTCTAATCACCACAATCCTGGGTTAATTATGTATTTGATGCTGATGTACCTTCTATTTCTGAAGTTTAAAATTTCATAGATATGGCTAACATTTTCTAAAAACTTAATAATATCTTAGTTTAGATACCAAATAACTATGTGTTAGAGCTCATTGTGATTTTTATCATATAGAAAGTTTACAGCATGAGAAAGGGTCAATAAATATTTAAGAATGCAGTGTTTTCATTAAGGTGGTTAAGTGTGTGTGTACATATATGTAAAAGATCTTGAATATTTTTGACCCATTGGTTCATTTTCCAGAAGCACTGAAAGTATGATTTTGTATTTCCAGTTTATTTTAGCCCCTTCTTGTTTGTTACATGCTCATTTATTAGTTTGTTCTCTTTTTATTTTTCTTTTATTTTTGAGTTGAAGTCTTACTCTGTTGCCCAGGCTGGAGTGCAGTGGCATACTCACAGCCACCCCAGCATCAACCTTCGGGTTCTGGCGATCCTTCCGCCTCAGCCTTCCAAGTAGCTGGAACTGCAAGTGTACACTACCATGCCTGGCTAATTTTTTGATTTATTGTAGAGACGAGGTCTCGCCAACTTGCCCGGGCTGTTCTCTAACCCGTGGGCTCAGGCAGTCCACTCACTTCAGCCTCCCAAAGTGCTAGGATACAGGCTGAGCCACCAAGCCCGGCCTCTTTTTTTAGTTATTAATGGAGACTTTAAATCTAATTTTTTAGCATTTGTTATAGTAGAAATGTTAAATTTAAGGGAATGAAATAAGGGAAGAAGAGTAACTTATTTTCTCCATTTTAACTCTTAACTCTTGGCCTCTGAGAAAGAGGGAGGGGGAAGCTACTTGGATGGGGGAAGCAACTTGGGAATTCCTCTGCATCAGTTACCGAGTGTTTCAGTTTTGGGGATACTTGAAGTTGAGATGACATCATCTGGATATACAGCTATTAAATATGAGGTAATCCATTGTGCCTCTAATGATCTTGTAGTTATAAAAAGAATGGTTAAGGTGCCTGCAAAAGTGAGGTATTTGATTGGCAGCCCTGATGCCATCGCTGTTCAGTAGTAAAATTCGCACTGACCCTTATGTTCACAGTCTGCCATAGTGATTTACTAATTGGAAACATGTCATTTGGAGATTTTTAAAAAATATATCAGGTGTGCTGACTGCACACTTAGATTCTACTGTTGTAAAATTGGTTTTTAAAGTTAGCATCTCCTTATTTTGCTGTTCACTAATTAGATGTTTTTAAAAATTAGGTCAAAACCTGGATTAAGCATTGGGAATTTCTCCAGTTTGTCTCTTCTCTTGATCACTTTTACACTTTGTTATTAAGGATCTGTATTCTGTCAGAACCTGGTATAAAATCCAAGTTTTTCATCATTTTCTCATTAATTATATTAATTATATTAACTTTAAAGTGTGTTTAAAGTTACTGAAGTTCAGCTTTTAATTTTTTTTTTTTTCTTTTTTTTGAGTTGGAGTCTCACTCTGTCACCTAGACTGGAGTACAATGGCCACTCCCGGCCACCGCAGCCTCAACCTGCTGGGCTCCGGCGATCCTTCCGCCTCAGCCTTCCAAGTAGCCGGAATTACAGGCGCGCACTACCACACCCGGCTAATTTTTTGATTTTATTGTAGAGATGAGGTCTCGCCTGCCCAGGCGGGTCTCGAACCCGCGGGCTCAGGCAATCCACTCACCTCAGCCTCCCAAAGGCGCGGGATTACAGGCTGAGCCACTGAGCCCAGCTCAGCTTTTAATTTTAATGTTTTTCCTGGAGAGTAAGGTTTAGGGCACTAATATCTCCTTGTGCCTAGATTTTTAAATGCTACTGAGAAGTTGCTATAGACCTTATATTATAGTGATGCTAAGTTTACCTTATAGCATGTATTGATTATTGAATGTACGGGGGGATAAAAATATTACAAGTCCGTATTTATTTGTGTGTGTATATGTGCATATATATATTTCCAATGGGATTCCTTTATTTTATTATTATTATTTTTTGAGTTGGAGTCTCACTCTGTCGCCCAGACTGGAGTGCAGTGCCGCTCCCGGCCACCGCAGCCTCGACCTGCTGGGCTCCGGTGATCTTTCCACCTCAGGCTTCCAAGTAGCTGGAACTACAGGCGCGCACTACCACACCCGGCTGATTTTTGATTTATTGTAGAGATGAGGTCTTGCCAAGTTGCCCGGACGGGTCTCGAACCCACGGGCTCAGGCAATCCACTCACCTCAGCCTCCCAAGGCGCAGGATTACAGGCTGAGCCACCGAGCCTGGCTGGGATTCCTTTAATAGTTAATGTTGTTTCCCTTTTTCTTTTTCTTTCTTTCTTTTTTTTTTGAGTTGGAGTCTCACTCTGTCACCCAGACTGGAGTGCAGTGGCCGCTCCCGGCCACCGCAACCTCGCCTGCTGGGCTCCGGCGATCCTTCCGCCTGAGCCTTCCAAGTAGCTGGAATTACAGGCATGCGCTACCATGCCCGGCTGATTTTTTGATTTATTGTAGAGATGAGGTCTCGCTGCCCAGGCGGGTCTCGAACCCGCGGGCTCAGGCAATCCACTCACCTCAGCCTCCCAAAGGCGCGGGATTACAGGCTGAGCCACCGAGCCCGGCTGGGATTCCTTTAATAGTTAATGTTGTTTCCCTTTTTCTTTTTCTTTCTTTCTTTTTTTTTTTTTTTTTTTTTTGAGTAACAGTCTCACTCTGTTGCCCACACTGGAGTGCAGTGGGGTGATCACTGCCACCTCAGCCTCGACCTGCTGGGCTCAGGTGATCCTTCTGCCTCAGCCTTCCAAGTAGCTGGAACCATGCCATGCTATTTCTTGATTTACTGTAGAGACAATATCTTGCCAAGTTGCCCAAGTTGGTCTTAAACACCTGGGCTCAGGCAGACCTTTTTCCTCTGCCTCCCAAAGTGCTCGGATTACAGGCATTAACCACCATGCCTGGCTTGTTTCTTTTTTCAGAGTACTATTTTTATGTCTTTAATTGGGGGAAAGTAGGAATAGGGAAAGAAGCAGAGGATGACTTGTTTCATGTAAAATTTTTCTTACTCCTTCTCACCCTTGTTTAATAAAAATGGACTATTGTTAATTATAGTTCCTTGCCTTTAGAATTGAGCTGTGACCCTATTTCTCCTCTTTGACTACTTATACATTGCTTTATACACAAACCAAACTGAGTAGTACATTAAGGAATTATCTAGTGGTCAGGTTGAACTGTTTTTCTTAGCCATTCAGGTCTTGGAGTCTTGAGGAAACAGAAGGTCTATTCTGAATTTAGACTAAGTGAGAATTCATTGCAGGTTACGGCCTTTGTGAAGCCAAGCTCAAGTCTGTATGGGGCAGTAAGGCTTTGGGTTATTCTGTTCTCTTCATCAACAAACTCATAAGAAATATAGGGATGACATGGTGAATGTTTCCTAAAATAGAATTAATTGTATGTTGATACATAATACAGATTTACATATGTGGGACAGTATTTGAACATTATGTTCATAAACTAAAAGGTGGAATAAGATGAGCAAAAGCACTTCATAAACTGCTTAAAAAGTTTTTGTAGCCGGGCTTGGTGTCTTAGCCTGTTATCCTAGCGCTTTGGGAGGCGGAGGTGAGTGGATTGCCTGAGACCACGGGTTCGAGACCCGCCTGGGCAACTTGGCGAGCCCTCATCTCTACAATAAATCAAAAATTAGCCGGGTGTGGTAGCATGTGCCTGTAGTTCCAGCTACTTGGAAGGCTGAGGCAGAAGGATCGCCAGAGCCCAGCAGGTCAAGGCCGCGGTGGCCGGGAGTGGCCACTGCACTCCAGTGTGGGTGACAGAGTGAGACTCCAACTCAAAAAAAAAAAGGTTTTTTTCTGGATACTATGACAGCAAAAATAACTGAAGGTAACTAATGCTTATTGAGCACTTTGTATATGAGGCCCTGGGCTCAACAGTTTGCTTCAATCATCTTGTGCCAACCTTAGGACACTCTGGTGAAAGGTTTGGAAGTAGCCTTTTTTTTTTTTGAGTTGAAGTCTCACTCTGTCGCCCAGACTGGAGTGCAGTGGCATGCTACCGGCCACCACGGCCTCGACCTGCTGGGCTCCAATTATCCTTCTGCTCAGCCTTCCAAGTAGCTGGAACTACAGGTGCACGCTACCACACCCGGCTAATTTTTTGATTTATTGTAGAGATGAGGTCTCACCAAGTTGCCCAGGTGGATCTCGAACCCGCGGGCTCAGGCAATCCACTCACCTTGACCTCCCAAAGCGCGGGATTACAGGCTGAGCCACCGAGCCCGGCTGGAGGTAGCCTTTTTAACACATGATGGAGGGGGAACTCAGTGAGGTTCCAGTGACT